CTGTTCCAGGGGTCTCCAACCTTGGCAACTTTAAGACTTGTGGACTTCCAACTCCCAGAGTTCCTCAGCCAGCTTTGCTGGCTGAGGAACTCTGGGAGTTGAAAGTCCACAAGTCTTAAAGTTGCCAAGGTTGGAGACCCCTGGCTTAAAGCGTTGGGTCAACCAACCCACCAAATTCCAGCAACCATAGAGTCTGTTCTCTAGAAAGGCCAGTCCCTGGGGAATTCTGGGAGTTGAAGTCCACAAGTCTTAAAGTTGCCAAGGTTGGAGACTCCTGGCTTAAAGCGCTGGGTCAACCAACCCACCAAACTCCAGCAACCATAGAGTCTGTTCTCTAGAAAGGCCAGTCCCTGGGGAATTCTGGGAGTTGAAGTCCACAAGTCTTAAAGTTGTCAAGGTTGGGAGATTCCTGCCCTGTTCTACAAGCCGTAGATTCCTTTGCTTGCTCCTGGCCCATCCTGGCCCTATTGCTACTTCCATGGGTGACCGTGGAGAACCTCCCAGCCTTCCCTTCAACCCCTTTCTGATATTTGTCTCCTAACCCAACGGTCCGCCCCCAACGGGCTTCCTTCGGTCTCCACCAGGTGGCTGAACGACTTGGAGGAACTCAAGAAGAAGCAGGTGAAGCTGCTGGGGGATTGCCTGCTGTGCGCCGCCTTCCTGAGCTACGAAGGTGCCTTCACCTGGGAATTCAGGGACGAGATGATTAAGGACGTCTGGCAGGCTGACATCCTTTCCAGGGAGATCCCTCTCAGCCAGCCCTTCCGTTTGGAAAACCTCCTGACCGATGAAGTGGAGATCAGTCGGTATGTCCTGGTTGGGTTTTTTGGGGGGTGGGTGGGTGGGGAGAATCCCTGTGGTTTGGCCTGCTCTGGCTCCAGAGAAAAGACCTTGTTTCCTTTCCCTCACGGGCCGCTCGTCCAACTGAATCTACTCCCCTTTGGCATGGTTGGAGCGCTCACGAGCCCATCCTTCTGCCTATACACCATGGTAGATCCTTGCACTGGGTTGAGGCAGCCCAAGAGTCATTTCCAAACTTCTGCACAGCTTCCGAAGTTTTGCAGCCGGTGGTTTGTTTTATTTGTCGATAGGCCTTTTTATTTTATTTTTACAAGTTACTGAAGGCAGCAAACATATCCCACACGCTTTGCTCCCTCCTGTTTTCCCCACAAAACAACCCTGTGTGGTGGATTGGGCTGAGAGAGAGGGACTGGCCCCATGTCATCTAGACGGCTTTCATGGCTGAGGTAGAACTAGAACTCACCGTCTCCTAGTGATTAGCCCAAAGTCACCCAGCCAGCTTTCATGCTTGAAGTGGGATTAGAACTCAGAGTTTCCTGGTGATTGTCCCAAGGTCACCCAGCCAGCTTTCATGGCTAACGTAGAACTAGAACTCATCGTCTCCAGATGATTAGCCCAAGCTCGCCCAACTAACATTCATGGCTAAGGCAGAACTAGAACTCACCGTCTCCAGATGATTGGCCCTAAGTCAGCTTTCATGCTTGGAGTGGGACTCGAACTCATCTTTTCCTGGTGATTGTCCCAAGGTCAGCCAGCCGTCATTCATGGCTAAGGCAGGACTAGAATTCACCGCCTTTCTAGCCCCAGGCCTTAACCACTAGACCAAACTGCCTTTTGCATTAGAAGCCCCTGGGAGAAAAGCGGGGGGCTCTTTGGCCTTACTGAAACCTCTCTCTTCCCCCTCCCCTTGTTTTCCTTCCAGGTGGGGCTCCCAAGGTCTTCCCCCAGACGAGCTCTCTGTCCATAACGGGATCCTGACCACCCGAGCCAGCCGATTCCCGTTGTGCATTGACCCCCAGCAGCAAGCCTTGAATTGGATCAAGCGGAAGGAAGAGAAAAATAACCTCCGGGTGAGAACCTCCGGCCAAGAACCGGACAGAGTAGAAGGGGCAGTGAAGTTCAGGTTTCATTCAAATTCGCCTGAGGGGTTAATGAGGAAACTCGGGTCAAGGGGGGCCTTGGGAGCGAGCGGGACGACCACAGCAGATCCAACCGTTGGGCAGGTTGACTTTTGGGTCTTGCCTCCTCTCTCAGATGGCTTCGTTCAACGACCCCGATTTCCTGAAGCAACTGGAAATGGCCATAAAATACGGGAACCCTTTCTTGTTCCATGACGTCGATGAATACATTGACCCGGTCATTGATAACGTCTTGGAAAAAAACATCAAAACTGCCCAGGGACGGACATTTATCATTCTTGGGGACAAGGAGGTGGACTACGATCCCAATTTCAAGCTCTATTTGAACACCAAGCTGGCTAATCCTAAATATTCACCATCGGTGTTTGGCAAAGCCATGGTCATCAATTACACAGGTGAGTCAGTTTCTCTCTCTCCCTAGTAGGTTGACCACCTCTTCTTCCTCTTCTTCATCACCTTCTTCCTTCCTTTCTTCTCTTTTTCCTCTTCCTCCTCCTCCTCCTCCTCCTGCTTCTCCTCTCCTCTTCTTCCTCCTCTTCTTCCTCCTGCTCCTCTTCCTCCTGCTCCTCCTCCTTCCTCTCTTTCTCATTCTCCTCCTCCCCCTTCTCCTTTTCTGAAGGAGACAATCAACCGTAACAGCAACGAATGGATGCGACACCAATTTGATCCCTTCCATTACAGTAACGGCCAAATTTCAAGCTGCAGGAACTGGCGGGAATGCAGAGCGGTCCCCTGTTTCCTCAGCTCCTCAACGCCTCTTTCCCCAGTGACCTTGAAAGGGTTGGAAGACCAGCTGCTTAGCGTGATCGTGGGCTTCGAAAGACGTGAACTGGAAGAGCAGCGAGAACATCTCATCCAAGAGACCAGTGAGAACAAAAACTTGCTGAAGGACCTGGAAGACTCCCTTCTCCGTGAATTGGCCACCTCCACGGGCAACATGTTGGACAACGTGGACCTGGTCCACACCCTGGAGGAGACAAAAGCCAAAGCTAATGAGGTAAGACCATCGCCCTGGCCTTAGGAACACGTTGTCCCAAAGAACGTCCTTAGGTTACCCCATGTAGACCGGTCTTAGATGTTGACCTTTGTGAGCAGTACATGGTGGACTTCCTCAAAAGAGGCGGCTGCCATCCATCCATCAAGAAGCAGCTCCGTTTCCCAATCCAACGGGCTTTCCTCCTGCCTCACTCAGAAAGCGGAATCTATGGGTCTTAGATTCAGGTCTGGAATATCGATCAGAAGAAAGCTTCTTCGGCTAGATGATGTGATAATCTGGCTTCCCCAAACCCTCTCTTCTAATCCAGGAGGCCCGTCTCGTTTCTTTGCTAACAAATTTCAGAAGGTTGGGCTGGATTTTTGAAGGCAGGCCTTGAGTCTCCGTAATCGTTGGAATCACTCACTGCTTTAATCGACCACTGGGATTTTTTTCCACGTTTAAAGTGTTTGTTTTTTTAAAAAAAACTCGGGGATATTTTCTCCTTCAGCTTTGGGGTTACAGAAAGGATCTGAGATCTTTGAATATTAATTATTGGGACTGAGCATAAACCATAGGATGTGTCAGGGTTCCAGCAAACACCTCCAAGCAGGCACTTTCCTCAAAGTATTGATTTATTAGGCCCCAAACAACTAAATTAAAAGTTTAAAAAGACAGTTTATTTGGGGAGGGTCCAAGTGTCCACTTTCCTTGGCACATGAAGTATCCAATCCTGCAGCTCCTGCCTCTAAAAGGGAGTCCTTTCCTTGGACAATCTAGGTCTCTGAAAAACTCAAGCTGGCTGAGAAAACCGCAGTTGACATCGACAAACTGCGGGATGGCTACCGCCCTGCGGCCAAGAGAGGAGCCATTTTGTTTTTCGTGCTGTCCGAAATGGCCCTGGTCAATATCATGTACCAGTACTCCTTGTCCGCCTTCTTGGATGTCTTTGGTCTCTCGCTCCGGAAATCTATGCCGGACACCATCCTTGCCAAAAGGTTGCGCAACATCATGGATACTTTGACCTTTAATATTTACAACTATGGCTGCACAGGTGAGTCGGAGGACTCGGTCGGTGGCTGAGGCCATGAGCAAGGTTTGAAAGAGGGTACGTGCCACGTAGGTGAGATGCTTTGTCAAAGCTGTTGCATTTGACCTTAGATGGAAGGCTTGAAGCCACCACAGTCAACTTAACGTTTGGCTTGAGAGGAAATTTTAGAGCTTTAGTTCAATAGCGGAAGTTCACATGATGGCTTCATGAAAGCTGATTGGAGGGAGACAGAAGATAGTCCTTGAAGATTTTAGGTGTTCATTCTTGGTCAAACTGGACACTCTTAAGTGAGAACTATAGTGAGAGAACAATCATGAAGTTGTCTCCTCAAAACGATGTTTCTGTCAGGGTTCCAGTAGTTTCCCCCATATAAACCATGAGTCTCTAGCCAGATTTTCAAAGCTCCAAGAAGATTTATTAGGAGTTAACATGCTCAGCACAGCCTGGGTGTAGCTGACTCTGAGACACATCATTCATTGTCCCCCTTGACCCTGGTTTTTCTCCCACCCCTCTGGGTGTATCCTAATTCATATTCTCCAATGGGACACCTCCATAGCCCAGAGTCATCAATCACACTCTCCAGTTAGAATTTTGCACGGCAGAAACTTCGGTCACCTAGAAACTATCTTTGAAAACATTTACGGAATGCAGGCTGCCCACTGCTCCCCCCTCCCTGTCCGTTGGCAACTCTAAAAAGACCAGAGAAATATTTTATGAGTCGACCATTTCTGGTTTTGGAACAAGAGAGAGAATTTGCCCATTTGGTCATGTTTTTACCCAGCATGGTCTTGGCAAGAATTCTCCCTCCTAACCGAGGCCGTGATGCTTTCATTCCCAGGCCTGTTTGAGAAACACAAACTCCTTTTCTCCTTCAACATGACCATCAAGATTGAACAGGCCGACCACAGGGTCCCTCAAGAAGAACTGGATTTCTTTTTGAAAGGTAGGTATCTGGGTATTTTTCCATCTCCCAAACAAGACCTACTTTCAGTGCCAAAACTGGTGCTGGTGCCTTTGTTTATGCAGCGGTTTGAGCTTTCAGATTTTATTACCTTTCAAAGCAGGCCTGCCGGCTTTATTTATGGTTCCAATTTATATACTCGTTGAATCCTATAGACCTAAAAGAAATGAAAGAACAGAATCCCAGCAGGACAAAAAAAAATCCAACTCAGAGGACCTGGCTGCTATATAAAAAACACGAATCCTTAAAATATTCCTTAAAAAAAACAACAACAACAGAATAACGGAGTTGGAAGGGACCTTGGAGGTCTTCTAGTCCAACCCCCTGCTTAGCTATACCATTCCGGAGAAATGGTTGTCAAGTCTCTTCTTAAAAACCTCCAGATGGCAGTTTCAGCGAGTTCTTTCTATGGTTGTTTGTAAGGTTTCCATCGTTAACCTACTTTCAGAACCAAATCTTCACCAGTTGAAGGAATTCCAATAAATCAAGGGGCGCAAAACCCTCTTGAGATTTCCTGAGCAGTCGGATCAATTATTCATTTCTCTTTTAATTCAAGGAACTGTCCGGGCTACGCTTACAAATTAACGGTTTGGGGTGCAGCAGCATATTCATTTCTGCACGTGAAATGGTCCAGTCCGGATGCCTTCTCTTGTCCCTAGGCAACCTTTCCTTGGAGAAGAGCGCCCGGAAGAAGCCGTGTCTCTGGCTTGCGGACCAAGGCTGGGAGGACATCATCCGCCTCGCTGAACTCTTCCCAGAAAAATTTGGCGGTCTTACCGACGACCTAGAAGAAAAGCTGAGTGATTGGAAAGCTGTGAGCACTTTCCTCCTTACCTCTTCGAATGTTCTTAGTCTGAACCAGGGGATGTGGGCTTCCCAAGGAGGTAGTGTTGAATCACAGGGACAAACGTAGCGGCCTTTGGAAAGTAGGGTGGGTATAAAACATCGCGACACTGGTAACGATTTGTTTTACACATGACCCTTCTCAGTGGTACGACATCGACGCTCTGGAACAAACTCCGTTCCCCCTGCACTACAACAGCACCCTCACCAACTTCCAGAAGCTGCTCCTCTTACGATGCTTCCGAGTGGATCGGGTCTATCGTGCTGTGACCGACTACGTCACCCTCACCATGGGTGTGAAGTAAGGGTGCCTCTTCTCCTAGGCTTTCAGCACCCAGGGTCTTGGGTTCCAGGTCTGCCAGATGTCCTCTTCTCTCTCTCTCTTCTTCCCCTTCCTCCCCCTCAGGTATGTCCAGCCTCCGGTGATCAGCTTCGAGGCCATCTACGAGCAGAGCACCCCTAATTCGCCCATTGTCTTCATCCTGAGCCCTGGCTCTGACCCGGCCACTGACCTCATGAAACTGGCTGATCGGACTGGCTTTGGAGGGAACCGGCTCAAGTTCCTGGCAATGGGCCAGGGGCAAGAGAAGGTAGATTGGGTTAGAAAGTTCTGGTGGGTGGCTTTACTCTCCTTGGCTGGCCAAGTTCTATTTTCTGCATCCATAGCAGAGAACCTCTGGGTCCTGCAGATGTTTAGGATAGGATAGGAAAGGATAGGAAAGGAAAGGATAGAATTGAATTGAATTGAATTGAATTGAAATTAGAATAGAAGAGAAGAGAAGAGAAGAGAAGAGAAGAGAAGAGAAGAGAAGAGAAGAGAATAGGAATTCTTTATTGGCCACGTTAAGTGTTGGAGATCAACAAGTCAACTAGATGTGTTTTATGGTGCTCAGTTCCTTAGAGGTCCATAAATTGAATCCATTGTTTTTCTACTGCCCTTCTTCCAGGTGGATCTCTGCATGGAACCCCACTCCTTTGGTTGAAGAGCTCTTCTGGCTCAAATCCTGAAGAAATCGTCACCCTCCCATCTCGTTCTCTTCCCAGGTGGCGCTGCAGCTGCTGGAGAACGCGGTGGCCCGTGGCCAGTGGCTCATGTTGCAGAATTGTCATCTCTTGGTGAAGTGGCTGATCGACCTGGAGAAGGCCGTTGAAAGGATCACAAAGCCTCACCCAGATTTCCGACTGTGGCTGACCACTGACCCGACCAAAGGTTTTCCCATTGGGATCCTTCAGAAATCTCTTAAGGTAAATGACCTCCGGAAGGGATCGTTTCGTGCCCTTGGCTCTGATTTGCTCTTCTAGTAGGAGGCATCAGAGCATGGGAGCCAAACTTTGGTGGCCGCCTCCGTTTGTCCTACCTTGAAAAACCCATCAAATCACTTCACTGGGGCAGAGGATCTGACAAGAGGAGAACATCCCAAAATTCCTGAGTGACAATGTGTCAGGGCTCCAACAATACACCCCCATTCAAATCATAAGTCTCTAACCGCATCTCTTGGAGTAAAAAAAATTGATTTATTAGGAATGACCATGTCGGTGTTACCTGGATGCAGCTGACACTAAGACATATCATTCATTTCACCCTTGACCCTGGTTTCCCCCCACTCCCAGATGTATATTCTCCAGTGGGACACATCCATAATCAATCACGCTCTCCAGTAATAAACTTGCGTGCCAGAAGCTTCGGCTGCCTAGCAATTATCTGAAGCATTTAAGGAATGCACTGCTTTCCCCGCCTCCCTTTCTGCTGGCAGCTAAAAAGACCAAGAGTATTTTTTTTAGTTGACATAGTGTTGATCGGCATCACTGGGCTTAATTTTGGGTGAGGAGCCCGGGGACACCACGGGCACAGTGGGCATGGGAGAAAGACCAGCGAAAGTTCCAAAAACATCTCCAGGTAGAGGAGCGTGAGAAAGTGGTTGCATCTGCTGACTCAACCCGTCCGAACTGGGGTCGTTTTCTTCCCTCATCTCAGGTAGTCACGGAGCCCCCCAACGGGTTGAAGCTCAACATGAGAGCGACCTTCTTCAAAATCTCCCACGAGTCTCTCGACCAGTGTCCTCACGCCGCCTTCAAGTCTTTGGTCTACGTCTTAGCATTTTTCCATGCTGTAGTCCAGGAGAGGAGGAAGTTTGGGAAGATCGGTTGGAACGTGCCCTACGATTTCAACGAATCGGATTTCCAGGTAGTCGACATTCTGGTTCCTCAGGAGGTCACGGTCGGGATCCCCTTGGATTTAGGAGGACCTCCCAAAAAGCCCCTGAGGACTTTTCCTTTCATTTTGCTTTGAGAAAGGAGCCTTGCCAATCGCTGTCAGTTTTAAGAGCAGGAAGTTAGGAAGGCTAAACGAAGAGAGACCCCGCGTGTGTCCGGATTCTGTCAGTTACCCCATTTAAATCATGAGTCTTGAGCCAAACTTCCAAAACTTCAAAAGGATTTATTGGGAATTGACATGCCGGCGCTGCCTGAGTGCAGCCAACTCTGAGACGCATCATTCATTGTCACCTTTGACCCTGGTTTTCCCCCAGCCCCTGGGTGTATCCTAATTCATATTCTCCAATGGGACACTTCCATAGCCCAGAGTCATCAATCATGCTCTCCAGTTAGAATTTTGCCCGGCAGAAACTTCCAGTCACCTAGTTATTATCTCTGAAAACATTGATGGAATGCACTCTCGGTTTGCAAGCTGCCCCACTGTCAGGGTTCTGGCAGTTAAGTTACTCCAATTAAATCATAAACCTTGAGTCACATTCCCAGAACTAAAGAGGATTTATTTGAAGCTAACATTCTACGTCCACCACTGCTCTTCCTTCCCCTTCTGCTGGCAACTCTAAAAAAGACCATAGAAATATTTTATGAGTTGACGGAGTGATTAATCCGTGGGTTTTCCCCCCCGCCACAATTCCACCAGGTCTGCATGGAGATCCTCAACACATACTTGACCAAAGCTTTCCAGCAAAACGATGACAAAATCCCCTGGGGAAGCCTGAAGTATCTCATCGGAGAGGTGAGCGGACAAGGGGCAGAGAGGGGGATTCCTTCAAATGACAAGTGGGGGTTCAAAAATGACCCCATGAAACTGGTCAATATTCAACCAGAAGGCCCAGTATCACATCTTCTGACTATTGGGGAGGGAACCAAATACTCTTCCCCCACCGGTGGGTCTGGGACTTGCAATTTCCTGCAGGCTTCCCCATTGACTTTGGCTAAGGCTGAGGCCTGTCCTTTACGACTGCGTTGCTCAGGGACAGAAATTCCAATCCCAATTGCCGTTGTAAGTCAACGACTACCTGTAAATTGGTTTAGGACTACTAGGGTAGTACCAGAGGGCTGGTCAGTGCCCTGAAGACCGTCCATCCACCTTTTCATTCACTTTGTTGAATTTTAACCATCTTTGCCACTTTTTAAATTTCATACGCGGTTTTTACGTTTCGATATTTTATTCGTACATCGTCCACAGTCCCTCTGTAAGAGAGATGGGCAGTTTCTAAATTTGATAAATAAAAATAAAATAAAAAAATCCAGGGGAAAAAACCCATCTCAAATAGTGATTAAAACCTTGTCGTGCTGCCAAATTTCTAGGTGATGTACGGCGGGCGAGCCATTGACAGCTTCGACCGGCGCATCCTTACTATTTACATGGACGAATACCTGGGAGATTTTATCTTTGATACGTTCCAGCCCTTCCATTTTTTCCACAATGACGAAGTTGATTACCGAATCCCCGAAGGGACGTCGAAGGACGATTATGTGGGTAAGGCACCGGCTGGGAGTTGAAGTCCAGAAGTCTCAAAAGTTGCCAAGATTGGACACCCCTGGTTTAAAGTTTGACGGGTCTGGGGCAGAAATATAACAACATCCCTTAACGTAGCACTCTCCCAGATACAATAGCACGTCCATATTTTACAGCAGACCCTGATTTGGCTTTCTTTCATGGCTGTCTCTTAATTACGTACATTAAAAGAAGTACACAACATTTTTAAATGTCATTCTATATTGCCACTCCATTAGAATAGAAATAGAATAACTGAGTTAGAAGGGACCTTGGAGGTCTTCTAGTCCAACCCCCTGCCCAAGCAGGAAATCTTCAGACAAACGGCTGTCCAACATCTTTTTAAAAACACAACTTCTGGGGGCAAGTAGTTCCACCAATTAATTGTTCTGACTGTCAGGAAATCTCTCCTTAGTTCTAAGTTTGCTTCTCTCCTTGATCACATTCCATCCTTATTGCTTCTCTGGTCCTGCCTTCTCTGGTGCTTTGGAGATTAGCTTGACTCCCTCTTCTTTGTGGCAACCCTTGAGATATTGGAAAACTGCTATCATGCCACCCCTGGTCCTTCTCTTCATCTTCAAGCCCGCTCTTTCTGCGTCTTCCTTCCACAGAAGAGATTGAGTCCCTACCCCTAGCCAACACGCCGGAGGTGTTTGGCCTGCACCCGAACGCTGAAATTGGGTACTACACCCAGGCAGCCCGCGATATGTGGTCCCATCTGTTAGAGCTACAGCCCCAAACAGGTATGGCCCTCAAGAGGTTCGGCAGAATTGGACAAAACGGGCCTCTGGTCTTTTGAGGCCCAAGGGAAGAAGGCAATTCAAACTCTGCTGACCAGCACTTCCTAATTTTCGTTGCCTGGAATAAAGAGCTAAAAATCTAGAAATGAATAGTTGGAATTTTGCCGTAATCCTGTATCAACAAGAAAACAAAAATAAAATCCCTCCCCAACCAGCATAAATTTTCCCATTCTGCAATGTTGGATTCGTCATCACCCAACAAAAAAAATGGTTCTCCTCCATCCGATCCCTTTGTCCTGATTTTAGGGGAATCCGGTGCTGGGATCAGCCGGGACGAGTACATTGGTCAGGTTGCCAAGGACATTGAGAACAAGCTGCCCAAGGTTTTCGATCTGGATCATATCAGGAAGGTTTTGGGCATCGACATCTCACCGACGACGGTGGTGCTGCTGCAGGAACTGGAGAGGTTCAACAAACTCATCGTCCGGATGACCAAGTCTTTGGCCGAGCTGCAGAGAGTAAGCAGATCTTGCCCACCCGTCCAAACTCTCCCCCTCCCTCCTTTCCCCATCTTGAGTGGCCGGTGGACTGACCATCCTTTGTGTCTTCGCGCCCAGGCCTTGGCTGGGGAAGTTGGCATGAGCAACGAACTGGATGAAGTAGCCCGGGCTCTCTTCAACGGTCAGATTCCAAACATCTGGAGGAAGTTGGCTCCTGATACGCTGAAGACCTTGGGCAACTGGATGATTTATTTTAAGAATAGGTTTCTCCAATACACCTCGTGGGTAAGTAGACACGACACCTTTGCAGCCCTCTTGTTAAGTGGGGGAAGAGGCCTGTGCTTTGGGGTAAAGCTTTGGTCTTTCCCGCACCCCCCGGATGTGACTTCTCCAATGGGACACCTCCGTCTCCAAGAGTCATCCGTCATCCTCTCCAATAACCTTCTTATGCTCTGACAACTTTGGGCTGCTGAGTTGATTATCTAGGCAGGTAAGGCTCACTCCCTTTTTCTGGCAGCTAAAAAGACCAAAGGAGTCTCTTTTTAGTTGACAGTCTCTCAGAGTCAGCTGCACCCAGGTAATGCTGACATGCTCACTCCTAATAAATCATTATTTGTTTTAATCCTGAGAGATGTGGGCTAGAGACTCATGATTCGAATGGGGGTGAAATTGTTGGAATTGTTGGAACCCTGACACAGCGTTCCTTGCTGCCCTTAGGTTGAGGAAAGCGAGCCGAGCGTCATGTGGCTGTCAGGGCTGCACATCCCGGAGTCCTACCTCACGGCGCTCGTCCAAGCCACCTGCAGAAAGAATGGCTGGCCTCTCGACCGCTCCACTTTATACACCCAAGTCACCAAATACCGGACCGCCGACGAGGTCACGGAGCGGCCAGGACAAGGTAAGGTGTTTCCCAAGGGGGCCGCGCAGACCTCCTGATGGACTTGCTACAGGACTGGCTACAGCTAGTCCCTCATTTACGATCCCTCCAATTGGGCCCAATGTTTCTGTCGCTAAGTGAGACAGTTACCTAGCGAGCTTTGCACCCTCTTCCCCTTTTACCGTTGTTGAGTGACTCTCCACGGAAGTTAGGGACGCAATTGTTAATTGTTGAATCCCACTGACGTTGCTTGCTGGAATGGTCGCGATAAGGGGAACCCCTGACCCCAGGACACAGCGACCGTCACAAACAGGAGCCAGTGGCCAAGTGGATTTTGATCACATGCCCTTGTCCCTATTTTACCTTCCCCAAATTATTGTCCTCCCTTACCTTATTTACTTACCACGGGGCAGGAAAAGGAAGGAGAAGTCTCAAAACTGACCACCTCCTCCTTGATGGCCTGTGGCTTCTCCCCGGGCAGCCTGTTGGGCCCCAGGCGAAGCAGCCATTCCCCCCTCCCCTCTATCTAGTAGATAGTAAGATGTGGCCTTACTAAGCCTTTATAGAGTGGTATTAGTACCTCCCTTGATCTTGATTGTATCCGTTGATGCAACTTAGGATTGCATTGGCTTTTTGGGCTGCTGCCGCACACGGCTGGCTCCTGTTTAGCTGGTTGTCCGCTAAGACTCCCAAGATCCCTCTCCCAGTTGCTGCTATTGAGCCTGGTTTCACCCAGTCTATATGTTGGGGATGCTGCAGCGGTTGCTGAGTGTTCATAACATCAGCAGGGACTCTGGGAGCCACGTATGAAGACCATCATAGAAGCAACCCGAGCAATGGATGAATCTCACTGCTCTTGCTATAGCAACGATTTATTAAAACTTACACGCTGCCTGTCTCTGGGCAGCTGCCCCGAGTCTCCCAGCCATGCTTTTGTTGAGGGGTGTGTGTGTGTGTGTGTGCGGCATTTCTAAAATGCGAGGCAGCTGAGGATCCCGTCTTGGGGCTGGGCGCCTCCCTTCTCCTCTCCCCAGGGTGTTTTGTCTCCGGCCTGTACCTGGAGGGGGCCGACTGGGACCTGGACAACGGCTGCCTCACCCGCAGCAAGCCCAAAGTGCTGGTGGTGGATTTGCCCATCCTGAAGATCATCCCCATTGAGGCCCATCGGCTCAAGCTGCAGGTACGTGCAGAGGTCGCCAGCTGGCGGTTGAGGTTTTGATTTGGGGTGTGTGTGTGAGAGAGAGGGAGGCAGGACAGTCCTTCCCAGACAGGGACGGCCTTCTGTTTACACCTGGTCATCAGTGGGCACTTGGTTTGGCATGTGGTACGGCAATTGCGGGGTCCTTGGTGCTCTCCGAGTTCGGTGGGTTTCTTGGAGACGTTTCATGACCCTACAAGGTAACCTTGTCAGTGCTAGAGGGAGCGGGGTCTGCTCTCTGTTTATACACAGGAGCCTTGCCCTGTCAGTGTAGGTGGGAGCGAATATTGTTGGCCCTTTGATTAGGCTGCTGTTTACAGTTTGTGGCATTAGTTCCTTGATTGGAGTGTTGTTTTATTGCTTGTATATAAACAGGGAGCAACCCCCCACTCCCTTCTAGCACTGATGATGTTCCCTAGTTGGGTCATGAAACGTCTGCAAGAAAACCGCCCAGCTCAGAGAGCACTAAGGACCCCAGAGTTCTCTTTCCCATTCTCCTTTCTCTTATTCTCTTTTTCCTCCTCCTCCTCCTCCTCCTCCTTTTTGCAAATTCCACTCTCTTCTTGTACTGATAATGCTACCTAGTTGGGTCATGAAACGTCTGCAAGAAAACCACCGAGCTTAGAGAGTACGCAGGACTCCCCCAGTTCAGCCCGAGCTCCAATTATTCACTTCTGCGATTGTCTGGTTTTTTTAACAGGGATCTCGTGGTGGTTTTGGGTTTTTGTTTTTTCAGAACACTTTCCGGACGCCAGTCTACACGACCTCCATGCGGAGAAACGCTATGGGAGTTGGATTGGTATTTGAAGCCGATCTGTTTACCACAAGGCATCTCTCTCACTGGGTCCTCCAAGGGGTTTGCCTCACCTTAAATGCCGATTGAGCCTCGGTGCAGCCATGCCGTAGCTCCGTTAACCGATTTTGAGCGAAGAAAGAAGACAGTTGAAAAACCCAGCCGTCCTTGCTGTGGCCACTGGAGGCTTCCAGGTTGCAACTTTACCTTTTTGGAGGTTCGTTTAATTTTCAGTTGCTGTTTTTTGTTCTTTCTTATCTTTTTTAAAATTTATATATTGCCCTTTATATCAATAAATAGTTTTGCAAATGTGTTTGATATAAAAGATGTACTTGGGCGGGTTCTAAAGCTAAGGCGGCAACCAGGAAGGTTTAACGTATTTATTATTGTCCCCAAAATAAATATGTGACTTGATACAGTTCCACAAATTGCCGACAGCGGATTAACTTGTCTGCCGGCCTTGAAAATGGATTTATTCGGTCCTTTTTTTGGCCAATTTTTCTCTTTGTGGATGCAATTTTAAACCCCGTCTAGTGAAATCACACCAGTAAAAATTGTCTCCTTAAACTGTAAGAAAGGTTAAGTGCATTTTTTTAATTTCACGGTGCATTCTCCCAAATTCTTGGACGCTTGGCTGTAAAAATTGACCCAGAAACAAGCAGGAAGGTTCTAAATTGATGCTGGTTAATGCCGTGCATTTTAAAATGGTATCCTCTTCAAAGGAAGTGCCTTTATCATTCATTAAATACCTATCTAAATCAGGGTTTCTCACTCTTGGCAATTTGAAGACCTGCGAACTTCAGCTCCCAGATGCTGGCTGGGGAATTCTGGGAGTTGAAGTTCGCAGGTCTTCAAATTGTCAAGAGTGAGAAACCCAGATTAAGCAATTTTTTTAACAAATCCACTAGAAAAGGAATATCATAAGCTTATATTGAAAAGTAGAATAATCTTATTCCTTCAGACCAAGGGTCTTCAAACTTGTCAAGTTTAAGACTTTGTGGACTTCAACTCCCAGAATTCCTGAGCTGACATGACTGGAGGAGGAATTCTGGGAGTTGGAAGTCCACAAGTCTTAAAGCTGTCAAGTTAGAAGACCCCTGATGTAGGGTCTCCTGCTTGGGCTGGGGGTTGGACTAGAAGACCTCCAAGGCCCCTTCTGACTTTGGTGATTCCTATCCTCCAACCTGAATTTCAAAACAACCAGGTTGTAGCCCCTCCAACTGAGGACGCAAGCCGGCCTTCAGCAGTCCCTCGTAAGGCCCCCCCACAACGGTTGCTGGATTATCCATCTCCCAACAGAGACCCCTTCCACTGTACCACGTTGGGCTCCCGCTCTTCCCCTCCACCCCCTTCCGCTCCCCTCCCTCCGCTCCTCCTCCTCCACAAACCCCCTCCCCAACAAAGGACACAGACAAGCTCAGCCAAGATTAGCAAAATAAAGGGTTTGTTGGGATTTTAGTCGGTTAGTTGATAAAAACGTGAACAAAGAAAAAAACGGAACATGGTGACCAAGATCACATTCTGGAAAGGTGGATGGAATTTGGGGAGGGGTGTTTCTCTCCTTCGGCTGCACTTCCTTCCTAACACCCCCCCCCGGCACCCCTGTGTGGGTCCAAGCTGCCCCCCCCCCCACTCAAAAAATAAGAATTTATCACGACTGTGCTAAGTGGCAGATTAGGGGAGGCTTTAAGGAGCCGATACACAGTGCGCGGCGGGGCTGATGGTGAGCTGGCGGTTTTCGTTGGGGCTCTAGAGGGCTAGCCAGGCATGGTGGCCCCTCCCTCGGGACGCGCCCCGAATAAATGTAAGGCGCATCAGAAGCAAGCAATTCAGGCAGACACACCTGAGTTTGGCTACAGTGTTTCATTAGGTAGATAACTCTGCAATAGGTACAGGTGAGGAAGGAGTGACTCTAGTTCTGGAAAGATTTTGGCATGCACATGGGGGGGGAGGGGGGAGAGAGGAGGGGGCGCTCGGAAGAGGGAGGGAGGGAGGCGGGGGTGCAGCCCAGCCCTCTGCTGACCACCGAGAGTCCCCTCCAAGCGCCCGGGTTCAAACAGTCCGATCCGTCCCCGAATGCTTGCAAACCATTTTGCTTCCGTTCACCTGGTCCACGGCCAGCGTCTCCACCTCGGGCGGCTGGGGCTGGGTGGGAGGGACGTGGTGGATACGGTGGGCTACCCCGACGTGGCTCTTGTGCTGCCTCTCCCGGGCCGGGCTGTGGGGCTCAGATGACATGCGCTCGGACGGGATGGGTGGGATGACTAAAGGCCTCTCCTTCAGAAGGTGCAGCTCGGTGGACTCCCTGGCCAGTAAGAAGGGGGTGGGGTCAGGCATGGCGTCCACTGGCTCCCGCAGCAGCAGCTTGCGGCTCTCTGAGCCTAATCGGTAGGCCTCCTCGAATTCGGGATTGAGCGGCGTGGACAGGCTCTTCTTCATCCGGCGCCGCGGGGTTTCCGGAAGCTTCTCTTTGGGAGGAGCGGGTTTGTAGCCAGAAAGCACGGGGCTTCCAGAGGGCGAGCTGTCCGACGTCCCGCTGGACATGAGTTTTTTCTTGGTGGCGTGGAGCTGGGAGGTCAGGTAGGCGATGGTGCTGGCCCGCTGCTCCAGTTCGCTGGAGAGCATGTTCAACTTATGGCTTTTCATCTTTAACTCTTCCAAGTATTTCTTCTCCCGTTCCTTGATGGTGTTCTCCAGCACTGCGATCATGGCGTTTTTCTGTTCGAGCTCTTTCAATAACTCGTTGTTTTCCACCTCCTTCACTTTGAGCTGGGCCTCCAGTTCTTCGCATTTCCTTCGGAGCTCTTCGCTCCTTGAAATCCCATTTTCTGGAAAAGAAAAAAAAAAAGGGAGGAGAAAAAGAGGGTTTGATTTCAAAAGAGATCTGGGTCAGGATCAACATTCCACGAAGCGAGCAAAGAACCCAGATAAGACTTGACAAACCAAAATAATTCACGCTTTGCTTCCAGCAAGGTGCTGTGCGAAAACGCCCTTTTGAAATCCTGTTTTCCCAGCTGCAGCTAATGGAGGGAATCAGGGCCCTTCTCTCCCCGGTAACCCATGTTGCTCCCTTCTCGGTTCCTCCCTGCATGCCCTAGGATGAAGAGGTGACTCTGGGTCGTCCTCTGAAGGCCCAGCCAGACTGTACCCTTCCCCAGTTTCCTCCACAGCCATCAGAGCCACATTCCCACTCCCTGTCAGCTGCTCAACCTCCCCCTTAGAATCAGACTCCCACAGGGGCGTGACATGCCCCTTCCACGACGTTTGAAGAGTAAGTACGGAAGGAAGGTGTACGCGAATGCGTTCAGATGCCTCACCTGTCAAGTCTGAGCTTTTGAGAGTCAACTCGTAGGTCAGATCTGAAAAACAGACAAGAGTTAAGATATTTCAGAAACTTTTTCTCTCTCTCTCTCTCTCGGCTGAATCTTCCTGGGCAAAACCGGGCCGCTCATAATAAATACAACCCAGAGAATTTAACCAGCCTTTCTAGAAAACTGACACCACTTTTATGACCGTTGACTTGCAGAGTAACCAATCTCCACACTGGGAAACCACCTTTATATATGACACGTTTATCCGCTTATCTGTAAATGCTCTCAGCGGTTAATAGAAGCTCCCTCTGACCCCACCCAAAGAATTAAAACAATATCAGCCCAGTGTGTTATCTTTCAAGATGGGTGGACTTCAACTCCCAGAATTCCCCAGCCAGGAAAGGCAGGTAGTCCTCGACTTAAGTTCATTTAGTGACCAAAGTTAACAGCGGCCCCGGAAAAGGTGACTTACGACCATTTTTTTCCACAGTTACGACCTTTGCGGCACAATTCAAACACTTGGCAACCGAGTCACGAGATTCCCAACAACAACCAAAGTCAAGGGGGAAGCCAGATTCGCTTAACAACTGGGTTACTAACTCATAGTCGTAACATGGGGGCAAAGCTCGCTGAACCCAATGTCTCGCTTAGCAACGGCAAGGTTGGGCTCGAGGGTGGCCGTAAGTCGAGGACTACCTTTGAGGAACCCTGTTGCCAAGCCAGCTTTTCTTCTCTCCCCGCACTTCCCTCCTGGGTACCTGTGCAGTGTTGCTGCAGGCGTCGGATTTCGGTGTGCAGCCCCTTAAGGGTGTCTGCATGCTGCCTCTGCAGGAAAAGCAAATTCTTTTGGGCGCTGTGCAGCTGGTTCTCCAGGTTCGACGCTGCCATCCTGGCATCCAGCAAACCTGGAGGGAGGGAAAGAAAGGGGAGGAGGAGGGAGAGAGGGAAGACGGGAAGGAAGGAGGGAGCACACCTTTAGATGACACGGAAGGGACCGCTCGGCAAGGAGGAAGATCGGGGATGATGCCACCGGGGTGGCAGTGGGGAGACTCTGGTCGGCGCCACCCTACGAAAAGGTTGGAGAAGGCCACATGGGCCGCCTGCCAGGGTCCACGGAGAGCCCGGAAGTTGGAAATTGGGAAGGATCCTTCCCTTCTTTTACCATCACTGATATTTCAGTGGGAGCTCACCACCTGTAGAACTCTCCGTCTGCTTGGGATAACTGTGTGGTCACAATGGGTGAGAGGGAGGGAGGGAGGGAGGGGAAGGCCGGGGGAAGATGCCACCGGGTGCTCCTGGGTTGGAGTCACATATTTATGGAATTGGCACCCCAGAGAGAGAGAGACTTTGTCTTGTGGGGTTCGGAGAAGGAACTGGCTGCCCAGGGGCCCTTGGGGTTCTCATCCCCTCTTCCTCCTCCTCTTCAGAAGAGCGAACCAACATTCATCATGCCAGCAAAATCCGCCCGGAAGGAATGGCCGAGGCCTGCAAAGAACTGAAGAAGCTTCTTCGGATGAGAAGCGAAAACCCCCAAGAAAAAGCTCCTTTTGCCTTTTGGAAAAAGCTCCTTTTTTTTCCGTAGACCCCTGCAAGGAAGTTTCTGGAACTGAAGACTTCTCTAGGTCATCTCCTGAGTGTGTCTGGATGTCAACATCACCTCCAGGGAGTGAACGTTATAGTAAGAGCCACGGTGGCACAGTGGTGAGAGTGCAGAACTGCAGGCTACTTCTGCTGACTATTGGCTGCCTGCAATTTGGGTAGTTCAAATCCCACCAGGCTCAAGGTTGACTCTGCCTTCCTTCCTTCCGAGGATCCAGATT